AATATTATATATAGCCGTATATACGGCTATATATAATATTACATGTTATTATAATATATTTTATATAAATATATACTATATAATATGTTTATAGTATATACTATATAATATGTTATATATATATAGTATATATTTGTATAATATATAATATGTGTTTTATATAAAACATATAGTCTATACTATATAATATATCATATATGAAATAATATATCATATATAAAATAATATATAACACATAATATATTTTTATATAGGGGGTGTAATATATCATATATCATATATCATGTGTAAAATAATATATCATATACAATATATTATGTATATATATTTTATATATTATATATACAAATAAATCCTATTGCTCTTGTTTCTCTGGAGAAGCCTGACTGTTCCACCAGCACCATCTTTGTGACTCTGGTCCACTGTGACAGGGTCCCCATCTCAGACTCCTCAGGGGTCAGCCTTTCCCGCCTCCCTGTGTCCAGAGCCTATGTGTGCTCCCCCAGGCAGGGGCCAGGACTGTCTTCTTCACCGTGGCCCCCCACAGATGAGCTCGGTGCCTGGCACACCGCAAGCCTCAGTGAATATTCGACGAAGGCGTGCACGCAGCAACCAGTGAATTTGCGGTTCCCTGCATCTGACACTCTCTCCCACTTTCTCTGCTTCTCACCCTCACCCCCCCACCCAGCCCCCACTACACGTACACTGTCCTGAAGGCCTGGCACAGACTCCTCTCCAGTCCTGTGCCACAGAACATCCATGAGGGCAGAGATCATGTTTGTCACTCAAGGCCGGGTGCCTCGTCCCTATCGGTGGGGGGCCGTTGAGGGGGGCGCTGGCACATAGTATTTGCTCAATAAATATTTGTCAAATCAATACAGAATAAATGCTGTTGCAGGATTGATTATACTTTTAAAATATTAGCCCATATTTCCCTCCCAAGATTTCCTTTCTCTTTTGCTCTTTCCTTTTCAGACAGTAAGGCATTTCTGAGCCCAAGCCTCAGGAAAGGACGTGACAGCTGAAAGCAAGAAAAACATGTCCCTCGTGTAGATGTGCAGATTCAAAAGCTCAGGCCCTGAGAGGATCAGAAAGAACACAGAGAAAAGGGCAAAGACTTGGAGGAAATTGTGAGGCGTTCCTGCTTCCCAGGCTGGAAAATAATGTTCTGAACTGTCAAAAAGGAAGAGAGTTGAAAAGGAAACAATAGATTGCAGTTGGTGGTGGACCCCAGACAAAGGAGTTCTGTCCCTGCTGGAGGCCACTGCTAGCTCAGAGGGCACCCGTGTGTGAATTAGGAAAAGGCACCCCTTCTGGGTGCACAGCTTGGCAACTGGAACACAGACGGGATCTAGCCCTTAATTGACGCCCCCCCACCCCAGGTGCTCATGTGGAGTGCACAACCTATACAACCATACAGGGCTGCCCTGCACACCCCTGTGAAGCCCTGGAGGAGGCTGGGAAAGCTCAGACAGGCCCCGTAAGGTCTAAACACAGAAGAAATGTATGCCTCATATCCCAGGTGAAGCCCTCACGGGTCAGGGGTGTCCCTGAGAAGAAGTGGTCCTGGCAGAAGGAGACTTGGGCAGTCTCAGGGTTTCCTCAAGGGCCTGATAAGGACAATAACTGGAGACCAGGTGGGATGCAGCGTCCCTCAGGACCACTGTGGACAGATGACAGCAACAGATTGCCACCTTCCCGCCCCCACACGCCACAACTTGGCACCTGTAAGCCCCTTAGAATAAGCCAAAACCCCAGGGATATTTGGAACGAGGGAGCACATTCAAGGAGACAGAGATTAAGTATCAGCCACGCAGCCACAGTGAGGATTCCAAACAAAAATTCACTTAAGCTATAGAAAAAAAGAAGTTGCATTTGGTGCACACGGAAGGTTTAAAGTGAGATTTTTTCCTACCAGCTGTGCTGCACAAATATTTGTTGAACGAGTGCTGAGTGAATGACAAATGGCTTCTTCTCTGCAGCCCTCATTTTGTTCTGCCCTGATTTAATTATCGGAGCACACGGTACCCTGACTAGATTGTCAATTGCTTGAGGGCAGGGACCAGCCTATTCAACTTTAAATCCTGCGCACGTATCTATATAGAAGTGCTCCTTGCCTGGGCATTCAATTGAATTACAATATAAATGCACAGCATTTTCCCCAGGCTCCGTGATCAAAACCCTCCCCTCTTCCTGCGCTCCCCTCCCCTTCTCTCCCACCCTCTGAGCAGAATTCCCAAAGCTGGGAACGGACAAAGGGACCCTCTCGTGCTGTCCTGGATGCAGCAGCTCAGCCTGATGAATGAGCCTGTTAGGTAGGATTTGAGACATGTCTACGTTAGCAGATGAGCTCTGCTCTGTTCAGCAGCCGTCAACTGGTGTGGACTGAGGTCAGGTTCATCACAGAGGGCGGGGCCCTCAGGACTCAAGGGCAGGGGTAACTAGGTCACTTGTCCTGGGAGTTCCTGGAGGTTTATGGGGCCTCCCACAGTCAGTACCCTGAGTCTAAGGGGCTGTTCAAGGCCCTCACGGCCTGGGCACCCGGCTGGACTCAGGCCACCTTTTCCATGGCCCCTGTCCATGACCTCTGCTCTAGCCTGCTTCCCGGCAGCCACCGTCACATGCCAATGTTTTATTCTGGGTCCTCACAGCTGTATCACACATTCTGTCTGTGTGCTCGGCATTTGTAGATACGCTTGTGGCTCCTGGCCGACGTTTATAAGTTATTCGCCTTGCGTCTGTCCTTTCTCTGTGGCCAGAAGGTCAGTGCCTGCCACTGGCTGGCCACCTCTTTGTCTCCCCGACTGGAGTCCCCGCTGTCTTCCCAGCTTTGAACCCAGATTTGCTCCTTAACTAGCTGGTGTCCTTGGCATGTTCTTTAAGCTGCTGTGTCCACGGTGACCACCTCCCCCGGGTCTGTGTCCTCTCCTCTGGGCGCCCTGCAATTTTTTGCCTCTTCCCGCAAAGGTCTGCTGACCGCTCTCCTGACCAGACGGGGCTCTCCCCGCCATCCCCTGTGCCCGGCACTGTCCCTGCCACTGAGGAGTGACCTAAGGAAGGCAGGTATCCGTTCCTCTCTCCTTCCTGCTCCCTCCTCTCCCTCCTTTACCCAGTTTCCCTCCTCTCCTTTCCCCCAGCCTCCTCCCCACGCACACAATCCCAGCCATTTCTTCCTTGGGGCCCTTTCACTTGCTCCAGGACTGGAAGATCACCAGGCAGAGACTGTCATGTTGCAGGGTCTTTTATTAAAACCAGGTGAGTTACTCCATTAGCTGAAAAGGCACACTTAGGTTCCAGAAAAACCCCCACCCCACCCCACCCCCCACTGCACTGCCACCTCCTTTGGGATGGGTGTGGCTGTCCCACTCTGCCCAGACCCGTTTCTCATGGCAGAGGGGCATCTGGTGGGGGTGATGGGTCAGAGGATCTGTATGTTTACGGCTTGAATTTGGGATTAGAGGCGCGGGTGACGGGTTGGGTTTGGAGATTGGAGGAATTGGGCTGGAGTCGGGGAGAGAGGAGAGAGGCTGCGGGCGGCAGAGGGCAAAGGGCCACACTTCCGGTTCCCGGGGTGATGACCCCCACAAGGAGCCCCCAGGCAGATGAAGCCAGCCCGAACAGCCTCGCCCCCCGCCCCCACCCGCCTCTCAGAAACAAAGCAGACACTCAGAAGCGAACTCTACGTGGCTACAGGAGACCCGGCACCACCCTCCCCTGGGGCCCGGCGTCCCCGTGGGTGGGGGTGGGGTCGTGCAGGGGCTTAGCCCTGGAAACCCAGCTCCTTGTACTTGGCAGCAATGTCGTTCCGGAACAGCTCGAGAGCCTTTCTCATGGCCGCCTGGGCGTCAGTGCCGAAGTCGTGGGGATGTCTGCTCTGGAGAACGTGGATGATGGCCTCTGAGATGAACTGCAGCGGGATGGATGAGAGGGGTGCTGGTCATGGGGGCGGACAAGCCAGGAGCCAGGGGGCAATCAGGCTGAGTCCCACCTTCTCTTTATTTCAGGGCCATTTATTGAGCGCTTACTGTATACCAGGCATGCTTCCAAGTGGTCTCTGAGATGAATTCCTTTTATCCCTGCAACCCCGGGAGACAGGTATAAATGGGGGACCAGGCCCGTCCCAGTACAGACCCAAGGTTGTGCGGCCCAGTGGGTCGGCTCACCCACCACCCTCCTTGGCTAGTGTTCAGGATGTGGGTCCAGCTGCGGCCAGACAAGGGCCCGGGTGCCGCTTCCATGCAGACAGCAGAAAGGAGGGGAATGCTCCCATTCCATGGTTTTGTCCAGGAGTTTGCAGTCAGAAAAGCTAGATAGAAAGAAACTATGTCCAGGGTGCCTAGGGGTGGGTCAGTTGGATAGGTGACCGACTTCGGCTCAGGTCATGATCTCGCAGTTTGTGAATTCGAG